CAGATTGAAAAAGAATTTTCTGGAGGGGAGTCACATGGGGGGGGATGTGCTGGTCCAAAAAAAAATCTCTAGATTTGAGATCTCCACAGGTTGGCATCTCTGCAATAGGTAAATATGGTTCATTGCAGCCCAGGCTGCAGAGTATGGCAGACAAGTTCTGATGACTTCAAAGATGATTCTGCTGTGTGAAATGTGTAGTAAGAAATGAAAAATCATTCATACATACTCTCCAGACAAGATAACAGCAGTGTTGAAAAAATTGGACCTATTCTTACGTTTCAATAAAGTACACAACAATAAAAACAAGCTTTAATCTATCTCCTGAACAAAAAATTGAAAGAGATGCAACTGTCAAACCAGTCTGACATGTAACTGTCTTTACTTGTGATTTTTAGCCCATAGAGTTTTTAAGACCTTTTGCTAATGGAGAAAGTGATGTTAAGATCCATTTTGACCATGGAACAACTACTTTGGCCTTCAAATTCCAACATGGTGTCATTGTAGCCGTTGATTCAAGAGCAACGGCTGGTTCTTACATTGGTAAGTTGGTTTTCCACAAGTTGAAGACTCTCTCTTGAGTGGGTGTCATGGCCAGTCATTGTAAAGTGTTATTATAAGAGATATAAAATAGATGGCAAAATTACCTAAGCTCTTTGGCTGAGACAGAGAGGAACTTTCTTTGATTTTGGTAATTGCCCAGACAATCACCAAAATTTAGGAAACATCTAAAAAGGCTTAACTTTGTCTAAACATATTGTTATTTTGTTGATAGCGTTTGTTTTTATAGTAGGGCTGATTTCATTGCTTTAGTATTGTTGTATGAAAATAAAATTTCAGTCTGCTGATTCATGCATTTTACAGTTCATTGATGCCAACTGAACACTGAAATGGCTTTCTTTAAGTGTATAATGGCATGCATTTTTGACCTTCTTCATAAAACAAGTAATTGCTTGTTTCCCTGTTAAATTAAGGATTACTATCACTTGTGTTTTTAGTAGTAGCAGAAATTCCCCTCATCGTTTCTGCAACTCCTGAAAACACATGTGATATTAATCTTAAGCTTTACTTGGTCCCATGTGATTAACTTTACTGATTCTCAATTACCACCTATAGATATCATAACAGGTATTTGGTTCTCAATAATCCTTATGATTGAATTTACGACATTCTTGATAAACTGATTACTTGTACTGTTGTGTAGCCTCACAGACGGTGAAAAAAGTGATTGAAATCAACCCATATCTTCTTGGGACAATGGCTGGGGGAGCTGCTGACTGCTCTTTCTGGGAGAGACTTCTTGCCAAACAATGCAGGTAATAAAGCTTGTTCCAAATTGGGTTTGTTAAGACTTCTTTAAATAGTTAACCTTTTAACTCCCAAAAGTAATTAACATGTAACTTTTCTCTTTAATATCCAAACACTATCCAGAAAACTGGTAATGAAAATGCTTTAACATATCAGGTAGAATGTGATAACTTGATCTAACACCAAATTCTTGTTACTAATTTATAAGGAAATATGTAGCAGCTAGAGGGGAGAATTTACAATCAGATTGTGGAAGTTAAATTGAGTTTCTATCAGTCAAACAGCAGCTGATAACTCTAGCATGTACCATATGTTTTGGGTAGTATTTCTTATTTTCTTGAATAGCCAGGAATCTCATTATTCCATGTAAATTAAATAGCATTGATCAAATAGTCTTAGGAAAGGCAAATTTATGTTGAAATACTTAAAGCCTCCAAACCTCCTTTTTCAAACTTGAAATTTAATCAAAAAGAGACTCTCAGTGCACTGATTTAACAAATTACTTTGAAGAAGGTTGAAAACACATGGGAATAATTTTATTTTCAAAGTGGCTTGGGATTGAATTTTAAGCAAATGATTTTATCTTGAAACATAGAGATAATTTTTTTTTTAATTCATACAAACCATGCAGGATTTATGAGTTGCGCAATAAAGAGAGAATCTCAGTGGCTGCTGCATCTAAACTTCTTGCCAACATGGTGTATAACTACAAAGGCATGGGGCTCTCTATGGTGAGTGTTAGCCAGCTTGCAATGGTCAGCTGAGTTACTGGTCTTGTAAATTAGTTATTTTAACCATTGATGTTTTAGATGCCTCACTAGATTTTTTTTTTAAGTTTGAACATGGTTCAGTTCCATAACTGTATCATTTTCTGATGAAATCTTTATTTTGCAGGGAACCATGATATGTGGCTGGGATAAAAGAGTGAGTTGATTGAATTTTTTTATTGTTTTTTTTTTGTTAGTGGTGTACACTATTTTCTGTGGTTTCTCCGTTATTTCTGTCCCTCAATTTCTCTGAATCATTGTGCTTTGTGAATTTTGTAAACCATAACAACTTTACTATAAGATTCACCCCTGCTATGCTAGTCAGGGCTTTATGACTCCGTGAAGTAGATAATTTCATCCTCTTTAACATAAATTTGCGTACAGGAAACTGTCTCAATTTTTTTTTGAGGCATGGACAAAAACTTATGAAAGTTTTGCTGTGACTAGACAGCAATAGGAAATCTAGTCCATTTGAAGAACTAAGCAGATTGCAAGATTAATTACAATGCTCACTGGAAAAAAAAAACAAATAAACATTTTACTTCAATATCTTAGGGGCCAGGTCTGTACTATGTTGATAGTGATGGCACTCGCCTGTCCAATGACATGTTCTCTGTTGGCTCTGGTTCCACCTATGCTTATGGTGTGTTGGACAGTGGCTATAAGTATGATTTGAGTGTTGAAGAAGCTTATGACCTGGGTCAGAGAGCTATTTACCATGCCACTCACAGAGATGCATACAGTGGGGGAGTGGTGAACTGTGAGTATACAGAAGAGGATGTACTGATTTGAAAATAAAATACTGGTTGAAAGTTCCTCATACAAAATGCACCAACCTAGGAATTTAAGCACTGACTCCGAACACCATTACTTTTGGCATGTTATCACTCTCCCTACCACAATCCATTTTTTAAACCAGTTGCTTATCAAAGCATTACTAACAAAATCTTTAAGGAAACTGCACCAGAATTGCACTCTTCCCACAAATAAAAATAAATTTAAAAAAATAAACAAAAGAAACAACAGTTTTGTCTATCTCAAAGCTCTGAAGAATCTTTGGAAGCAAATTTTTACATAGTTTGGTTTTAGAAAATTAATTTATGTAAATTGTCTTTTCCTTCTCCTTTTTCAACAGTGTATCATATGAGACAGAATGGATGGATCAAGGTTTCTCAAACAGATGTGGCCAAACTTCATTACCAATTTCAAGAAGAAAAGCAGAAATAGAAATCAAGTTTATGTCACTCCATAACTTTACATGTGCTGAACGATATTGTCAATAAAATTTGTGTCATTGTCTTTAAAGTATCAAACTCTGCTTAATGTCAGTGTTCTTTTAGAGTTACGTCATCTGTCAGAAACATAAGTCTTTCCTCTGTTCCGCAGTTAATGAATGATTGACATCGGCAAGACATGGCTAGAAAAAGTAGGCAAAATAGCGGAGCGTATACCGGTTACTAAGCATTAAGCGATAAGGATTACTGCTTCTACACCGTGGACGGATTCTCAGTATATCTTAAGCTACTCCTCAGTATTCGTCACAGTTCCTTGACGTAAATACTACTATTGCCAAGTTGTTTTCTATCGTAACACAAGCTTGTGAAGGAATTATTGTCACTGGAGCCTCTTTGGAGTTGAAAATCAATTTAGATTGGCGTTTAGTGGGTTTGTGTTTTGATATATACAAACAAAATATAATTGATCATTACACACGATTACCTTCAATTTACCATACCCTTGGAAATTATTAAGTAAACAGTACACAAAAGTGATGTAAAACATTTTTAGTATCTTTTAATTGAGTAAGACGTCTAGGGTATTATAAAATCAAGTTAAAGATTAAATGTAAATTTATGGGTGTATCTAATTGTAATAGCTAGAAAAATACTTTACACATTTGCAACTGTCACACGGCTATATAAGTTCATCAAATTATCCGGCACTATATACACGTACAAATTAAACACTATTTTCGTTTTAATACTACACTATATATAGTTGGTGAAAAAAACGTTCAAATCGTTGGTCATTTCATAATTGAAAGCTCTACCACAGTAAAAATATCAGATACCAAAAAAAAATAATAATATTGAAATGATTTGTCGATTTTATAAAATTTGATTTACCAAAAAAATATTTTTTGTGAGAAAACATTCAAATGCATGAATTATATAAGAAATAATTGGGATCTACTGATGAACACCCATAAAAAATTTAAAAAATCAATCTAATTGTTTGCTTAGCGTCTGTAAAGAAGGTCAATGTGAAATGGGAGAAGAGCAGTAAATGCCTCTTAAATCCTTTAAACTCTACGAGTGACTAGCATATAATTTCTCTCAACTAAAAAATTGGTGAATCATTCATTACGATCATGAGAGTTGAAGAAATGATCGCCAAACTAAGTAGCTTTGATTGTTAAACCAATTCTCCTTGTCAGTTTCTAAGGAAATGTATAAAGACGAGTAAGGAGAATATGGATACTGACGTTAAGGTGTGAAGGGTTAACACTAACTATTTTGAATGGCAGATGATTCCTTCGGTCGACTTGCGCTCTTGCAATGGGACTTCATGCATCAATTGCAAAATAGCATTCCATGACTGGCCGTCAGTGTGGGTATTGCATTTAGTCAAATGTCATAGGTCTGATGCGAGAGAAGTTACGAGTCTGCAAAAAGGACAAATATTCATATAACTAGGAGTTCTAATTTTTTAATGCAGAATTGCTTACACGTATATTGCGCCATTACGAGGGTCTCAATGGGGTGACGGCTTTTACGGCTTGCAGTTAAAACTGTGGCCATTTTATGACTAACGGTTGACATCATCCCATTGTTGTCACCAGAATTTTTTTGAACGGTTACCTTTTTTTACAATTAACGGTTGAAATTTGACAGTTTATACGCCTAACGGTTAAAGGTTTGGCCGTTTTAAGGCTATCGGTTAACCCCATTGAAATCGTATATAACACGCGCGTCAAGCGCGCGTTTAATTTTCATATCTAGCATACAAAATACATGCGCAAAACACCCAAGTGTTAGAAAAGAAAACATGTTGTCGTGTTTAGAGCACATGAAAATTATACCCTATAAGTTAATTATAGCCCATTGATGAATGTATCTTTAAAACTCGAACATCCTGCTAAATCGAACTTGATGCTATTTCCTAGAGCTTTTTTGATCCATTCACTATTGACGAATTATAGCCTCCTTCTCGTATTTCTTCGCAGTTCAAGTTAGTGGTACGGATAAAAGAGTAGCTGGTCACGGTGTTCAAAATCAATCGTCGATGGCAAACAAACGGACAAACAAAACTTAAAAGTACCTACACGAGGATTCATAACAGCATGTATGTCTGACAGCTTCACTCTGCTATATTCCTGACCACCAAAAGCTCCTGAAGATAAAAGGTTACAAGGTTAGAGAAATAGTAAGCAAAGCTCGAATAATATTTTGTAAGAGAACAAAAAAACATGGAGGCATTGCTTTTCTACTCCATCAATCCATGCGACTACCATGTGACCAATTGAATCTCGACAAAACTGGCAATAATGTTCTGCTCATAAAAGTCTTAGGCCAGCTGAAATAACCTCAGATCTTGCGTTCTGTTTCATTTTCAAAAGCGGCCTCTCTTAAAGAGGAATGGGGTGGACAGATGAAATGTAGGTCTAGTGGATGAGAAGAACGGACAAGATTACAGACTAGAATTTCAAGGGGGTCCTCAAAACTGAATGGCAGATTTGAAGTTCATGAGCTGTCAATTGAAATATATTGAAAGTTTCAACATCCTTAATAGTATTAATCTATTGGTTGCGGCCATTTAACCCAGCCTCGTTCTCCAAGGTAGAAGAGAGAGCCTGGGAGCCATCCTACTCATGGTTGCTTCTTTACCTGGGTGATCAATTTTGAGTCCTACAAATATACTCCCACCGCTATCATATTTGCTGACGTACTTCACCATTCCTGTCAAGTTCATCTTTTCTTCTCCTTTGAGGAAAGAGAGAGACGACAAATAAGTAAATAGTTGATCGTGAACTCGGGTCGTCCGAGTGGGAATAGTATTGAAAAGGACTGTTGCTTGTAGTAGTGATAGACGTTTCGACAACCTAAGCGGAAGCTATCATCAGAGTCAAGTGGAGAGCTGTTTGTCCGTCAAACGTTATGGGTCTGTTTTTCGTGAAATCTGATGAAGATAAATTGTGTTTTTATCCTTGTTCAGGCCCCTTGTATCCGCGTAATTTAGCTTAAGCGCTTCAGGTAACCATCGACATTTTGTCAGCCAAAAACATTGCTATGAAAATCTTAAACTCCTACTCGTAATGTACTATTGAATCTTAACGTCTTAACACATGTAGCTTGCGGTTTTGTGGGCGCTTTAATGCATCAAGTGGCGGAACCGTGAAAACGAACGGCGAAACCGCACGAGGCATGGGACAGAAAATAGTGATGATAACTCTTACACTACTTACCAGTTACTCTACTTTGTATCATAACTTTGTCTCCTTTATGGACACTACCCGAAGAGAAAACTTCATCATCAGCATCGTAACCATTAAGACCGATTCCCTCCGAAATACCACCCAGGTCGCTGTGGTATCCCGCTGTATCACGTGACCAAGTCAGGAGAGGTGTGTGTGACCTTACACCATATGACGACATGGGACGTTTCGTTCTCGGCCTGTCTGAAGGAGAAGCACTTGGAGGTCTAGGGGTGGTCTCCGGTGCTGAATGATGTCCTGGCCCCCCATCAGCAAGATCACCGTTTGTGACTTGAGGTGTTTGTTCTTCTCCTGCGGGTACAGGTCTCATCCGTCCAATCTATCGTCACAAAATTAACTATTTAACTCGAAGTTTGTGATGGAGCGTTCCTAAACCCTTTAACTCCCATAAGCGACCAAGACAGAATTTCTTCTTAGTAAATCAATACAATATCAAACAGGCAAGTGATGAGAATACAGAAAAATATCAGTTAGAGGATTATCAGTTGATTCAATATCAAATTCTCAGAACTAACATTATAAGAACTGTATGGCAGACAGTAAGGAGAATTACTAATGAGATCTTGGGAGTGAAAGGGTTATTAATTGTAGCAAAACCAAATTCAAACTAACCACGTCGGAAATAAAATGACAGGAAAAGATCACAAGGAAAGATCACAGGGAAACCAAAATAAAATCAAGCAGACCGACTAAATATACCCGATTTTCAAATAAGCGTGGAAAGAAATGTGCGATCGCTTTGGTTTTGCTTTATTTCACTCTCTGTTTAGTTTAGAAAAGTTACAATCTAAAACGATACCTTCTACTACAAACAAATGCAAAACTAACCCCAATCGCTAATTGGCCACTTGCGTTACACCGTGCCATGGGCAACAAATATTTTTTTTGAGCTCTTACGGAATCCTTGTGAAATTATTAAATTTGCTCCGATTGGCTGTTTTGATTATTTTGAGTTGATTTTCAAGACCCTCAATCTGAAAGCGTTTGAGTACAATTTACAAGCTATGGCTGACCAAACTGAGATAAGTCTGAGTAACATTGATGTATGTCTACCTTATGCGAGCTATTAATGTAACTTTGGTTCAAACACGGTGGACCCATTTTGTGCGCAAGGCGTCTACGTACTAAACTTGATCCACCACTTTGAAATTCACTGCCTGGCCTCCTCTTGGGTGGGGCGCTTTTAGGTCTCTTCCTGCAAGGAAAGGTGTTTTTGTAAAATCACCCCTGAGACACTTACATATCACAGTGAAGGGTCGAGGATCTTTCCCTTTTTTCAAATTCAGCCATTACTTCAGTAAATCTTAATACAACATCGAACCAAACTTGTTATCAGTTGACTGCTGTTGGGGTAGGGAAGGAGTACGTGCGCAGTTGCTCACCCACTGACATCGATCCAAAACTAGTCTGTCCCAAAAGCATATACGTATTGTCTACGTGTTAAAAAATTATATAAGATATTATAATACGGGTTTTAAATTCCTACCTCATGGATACTTATCGTTCTGAAATTGTCTTGAAATGTGGTAAAATTGAGAATAAGGATGCCGCCATTTTGAATATTGCCTCGAAACTTGGCCGCTAACCAATTCCTAATCAGTCTCCCTCCCTTTTTTCTAATTTTTTTTTCTCTTGGAATGATTGGGAGCCACGAAAAAGGCGTCCATGACTCAAATAACTATTTTTTTTGTTGAGACAGAAGGTGCTGTTGCGCTATTCAAATTGAAATGTAATCTTCACAGCGAAAATGGGTCAGTGAATCAGGCTAACGGCTAAGGTAGGCAGATTGCTTCTGAAAATCTTTCTCAAAGATTATGGTCGAATTAATATTTATTTTAGATAATTTGCGATACAAAATAATGCCTTCACACATACCCCAACACTTTGTCAGCTCTCTGCTTCCACCAGTCACGGTCATTCTCATAAGATATCAACACGTCCTCAAGCTGGTCTTTAAGGTCATCAACTACACTTTGAAGCCGTACTATTTCCATCAACTTTTCACCTAAGTTTTTTTCTTGCTCTTTGATGCGTCCAGTCAAGGTTGATATTTCAGCTGATTTTCCTTCAAGTTGACTGTTGAGTTGCTTTTTGTCATTTTGTAAGTTCTCTATGTTCTGGTCCAGTTCCTGCAAGGTAGAGATTCAGACGAAGAGATTGTCAGGGTTTTTGTACAGATGGAATTGAACAGCAAGATGAAGCTGAGAAATCCAAGTAAATAAATACCGGATAGCAAAAACCAACTTGCGGCTCCCAATTTAAGAGACACTTCGATCCGCGCAGTAAGTTTCAGAAAAAAAGAGGAAATACAAAACATTATACGCTTAAAAAATGTACGACCTACAGCCCAATTAAGAAAAAGTTCAGCGGGCAAATCAAGTGTCTCTTCATTGTCTTTACACACCGACTCACTCATAATATCTTTCTATACATCACCTACCATGTTAAGGCCCACTCTGTACAATTAGACAATTTATAATTGTAAAAATATTACGCTTCTTTTCTTTTAAATGTCCGACTCCTTAAACAGAATATCGCAAAAATTAAATTCCTTGCAGAAATTGCTATCATTTGAATCTGAATATTTTTGTTCCCACAAAATATGAAATGTCTCTGGTTCGTAAACTGTATAGAATACTATACCCATGCCACACCGTTAATAAGGTAGCCTCTGCCGGCAATAGGCTGAAATGGAAGGAACAGGATCATCACGGCCTTTTGGCAGTGCACTTTGTGAGGCTGCTGCATAACACTTTGTTCCTCCTTTTTTTTTGGGGGGGGGAGGGGAGAGAGAGGGGGTTGAGTGGGGTAGGGCTGTTTTCAATTTTGGTACTCAATACGCTCTCTTAACTTCCAACTTACTTTTCTCTTGCTATTTGATTGTTCCAGACTTGTCTCAGTTTCCTTTAACTCCAGTTCAGTGTTTTTCAGCCGACATTCAACTCTATGTTTCTCCTCCTCTGTAAATTTCAGTTTCTTCTCAATATGTGACTTGATGTCTAGTTCCTGTTGAAAATGAAAAATTGTAAATTTACTGATATTTATTACGTTTCTTATGTTCACAAAAAAGAATTTCTTTACTTATGGTCTCTTACAAGAATCAACATATTTCCTAATCATATTTTTTACAATACTTGCATACAGCTGCATGTGAATTACACAACAGCTGGATTTATAGAAAGCCCAATAAGAAACATATGTATGTATATACATACTTATACACATATATAAGTATCTATTTTATTAAACAATATTTAGATAAATAGAATAAGAAAGATGGTTAATTTTTAGCATGGTAACAAAATAGAGAAAAATGTTTTTCAAGTCATGGAATAATTCCATGACCCTCCCCTTTTTTGGTTGGGAATGTATAAAATATAATGACCCTTCCCCCATTTTGCACCAGCCTTCTCCCCTCTAATAAATGAAAGGTCCTCTACAGTCTGATGCTATACTCTTTCAATGCTAAAATTGACTGATCATTGTTACAACTTAAAAATAAATTTGTTGTCAGCCTCAGACCTACCTTTTCCAGTTTGACCCTTAATTCTTTCTCATTTTCCAAACTTTCCCTTAAACTTTTCATGTTCTTTTCTTTTTCATCGATAACATTCCTGGCAATCTAAAATTGACACAAACACCATGAGTAATGTGAATGGAAAATAAAAAGGGAAACATTTTAAGGAAATAATCACTCATCTAAAAAGCACGATACAAATTTATTCATATTGACACAGTCATCTAAATAGGAATATACCAAAGAAACAAACCTGCAAGGTGTCCTTGACTTCAGTGAGCTCCAGATTTAAAATTTGAATTTTTCTTCCCTTCTCCTGAGCTCTGGCCCTGATTTAACAAAAAGAATAAAAAATTGCATGATCATGCAACACCTTTTCTTATTAATATAAATTCACTTTGAATTCACTCAGTTTGTAGATGTAATTTACACCATTCAATTTGAAGCTTCAACATCCTCCTGGGCAACCCACAAGCATTTAACTGTCATTGTGGGCAGATGGCTCAGAAGAAAGGATATACAGGAGAGTCACAGGGGCTAATTTTGCCTTTAACAAAAACAAAAAAAAATGAGGATGAAACCAGTACTTGGGTGGGGCATTTGATCACAATTTTGGCTCCATGGGTCAGGAATTTCAATGAACCAACCTTCAAAAGTTCAAATTCCTGAGGGGGAGGGGGGAAGAAAAAGCCAGTGTGCTCCAAAGCATAGAAACAAAGTAAAGAAATTATCCTGATCAACTGTGAGACAATGCAGACTTGTGCCCTACTCACTGTGCCATCCTCAATGTGTGTCTTTCCTCATCTAAGTCTTTCCTGGCCTGCTCTACTTCCTCTTTCTGTGACTCGATTGCCTGTTTACTTCTCCTAATTTGATCTTTGAGTTCTTCTCGATCTGCTCTGTATTCCAGAGCTCTTGTAAGCTTCTCTTTATTTTTTGAAAGATCACTCTCCAGCTTAGCATTCTCTTTTTCCTCTGTAATTGGGATACCATTGATTGAACCATTAACTTTGTGATCTTTTAGATTATGAAAGCTCTGAACACATAATACAATTATACTAAATTTCCACATCAACTTGTAAATTTATCCACACCAGTCACATATACATATTATGTGCTTTTATAAGTGGGTTACAGCAAGCATGATTGTATGTAGATTACTTCATATTAAAAATTAATTGAATACCATTCTCTGGTCAAAAATATCATATTTGATAAAATATTTGTACTAAATAATATTTATTTACTACTGCAGTATGAGCTTACTTTTTTTAATCAAGTCCATGGCATCTTCATAGTCAGCTTTGTATTTTTCTAGAGTATCCTCTCTGACACGATACTGTGGCAAAAATATAAAAGTACTATTACAAATTAAATGCACAACACATTTATTCTTGACAGATTGATTCACACAACACTTGAATTACTCTAAGTGACAATAGTTACTCGATTTAGCCCCCAACCTCAAAATAGCGCCCACCACAAATATGCACCTACCATTTTAAGGCCCCTGAATCAAAAATTAAGGTTGTAAGAGCCTCTTGTTTGTTAGCCAAATTCTCTTTGTAAATACCAAAGAAAATGTATAGACAGCAGTATAGAGTACTAGCATACTGGTGTTAGGTGTAATTAGAGTTGGTTCCTTATAGGATGGTTCAGAATTCTACAATATTTTTTGTACCCTACCACTTTGTCTACAGCTTTTAGTCAACCTCTTCATAGCCATGTACTTAGACAGCAGTATAGACAACTTGCAAATATATACTAATGTTAGGGTGTAAAGAGTTAATACTTACAATAAGGTTCTACAACTTTTGCAACTTACCACTTTGTTTACAACTTCCAAAGCTATTACAACCTCTTCATAGTTGTATACTTAGACAGCAGTATAGAAAACTTGTAAATATTAACTGATGTTAGGGTGTAAAGAGTTAATACTTACAATAAGGTTCTAAAACTTTTACAACTTACCACTTTGTCTACAGCTTCCAAAGCTTTCACAGCCTCATTATAATCTGCTTTGACCTTTCCTCTATCAACATTGAGTTTGGTCACCTTATCCTCCAGCTCTTGGATCCTTTCCTTCAGTTTATTCTGAGATTCTTTTGTAATTTTCTGCTTAGCTAATGATCTCTGCTCCTCTTCCAGTTTACTCTTCTCGTCCATGAGCTTCTGAACAGCATTCTCTAGATGACTACTGTGAGTTTTAACATTGTTCAGTTCCTTCTGAAGTATGGAAACTTGACTCTTAAGCAATTCATTCTCTTCTTTCAGGCCACTAGCCATCTCTTCTTGATCACGCAAAGAAGTCATTGACCTGTTCACATCCTCCTTGGCATCCTCTAGCTGTTGTTCCTTACTTCTGTTCTCAGCTTCAAGTTGTTTAACTTTCTCTTTTGATGAAGAAATTGTTTCTTCCTTTTCTTTTTGAGCATTTTCTAGGCCATTTTCTAGTTCTGTAATTCGGACTTGAAGTTTGGAAATTTCTTCTTTTAGTTGAGTAACAAGCTGATCTTTTTCAGGTGTCTGGTTTGTAATAGCTTGTTCATGGACTTCTTTTTCTTGTTCTAGTTGATCTGTAAGTGCCTTAAAGAATAAAATAAGAATAATTTAAATGCAAATGTTTTTTAAAATCAAATTTGTGGTTCAATTTAACTATTTTAAAGTGAAAGCTCCAATTCCTAATTCATCTGTATCTGTTATTTCCTGCTACTGCCTCAAAAAGTTTAACATTCGAGGGTTTTAAAGAAGTTTTAGTAAAAGCAAGACCTCTTACTACCAGCTGTTCAGTGTTTGTCAGTGGGCTATCATGTTCAAGTTTTGCTTTACAATGCAGCAGCCTATATCACACCATCAGCAGCCACTTATCAAAAAAGAGACTGAGACCTGGGCTGGTTGAGGTATTTTCTTGTGACAGAGTTTATTTTGTTGATTGTTTAAAATAATATAGTAGACCTGTTATTGTGACAAAGTCTACTTTAATTGGGCTGTGTATATTTTAGATAATCAACAGACCTCTAGATCAGCTTTAATTAAATTTACCTTTACTTTATCCTTTTTCTCCTCTATGCCTTTCTCCAAGGACAAGTTTTTCTCTGTCAGGTTTTCATTCTCTTTTTTTAAGCTGTCTAATTTAATTTCAAGTTCCTTGATAACTTTGTCTTTATCCTCTTCCTTCCTCCTTTCCTCATTGAGTTCTGCCTCCAAAGATGATTTTTCCTTTGACAAACTTTCAATTTGCTGTGACATGTTTTCATGTTCTCTCGTTAGTTTATCAAATTCAACCTTCATCTCATCTTTTTCATCCGCTCTCTTGCTATCTTCCTCTCCAAGTTTGTCCTCCAATGATGATTTTTCCTTTGACAAACTTTCTTTTTCCCATTTCATTCTTTCATTCTCTCTCCTTAATTTATCTAGCTCATTTTTCAGCTCCTCATTTTCATTTTCCCTCTTGCTACTTTCCTCCCCCAGTCTCTCCCCTAAAGACAATTTTTCCTGTGACAAACTTTCAATGTCCTTTTTCATGTTCTCATTTTCTTTTTTCAGTTTATCAATTTGATCTTTCAGCTCATCTTTGTCATCATCATCTTGCTCTGATCCTCCTGATCCTGTTTGTTTTTTCTTTCTTAATTTCTTCCACTTTTTCTCTTCCTTGCCATTGCCCTCTTCAGCACTTGAACCACTAAGTGTAGTTACAGTGTCAACCTCTATTTGAGGAATGATGGAGTCTGATCCCTTAATATTTTTATCCTTAGACTGATCCTGCATTCCTGTCAAAGGGCTCTCACTTATCTTTATGTTGCTTGCAGGAAAGTTTGAAATTTGTGCAGCATCAACTACATCAAACTCATCATCAGTAGCTTCCTTTCTCTGTTCTTCTGTCTGTGCAACGTTAAAGTTGTCCATATTCAATCCTGGCTCATTAATTGATTTATTTACTTCACTGTCTCTGAGTTGTTTACTGGTATTTGATAAAACCTGAAAGCAAATAAGACATCTGATGAAAAAGGATTGTCAACTGAGTCATACCCATTCATAAACATCTTAATCAGTACTTTAGAGATGAAAGCACTTATTGACTGAGTGTGGAAAAACAAAAACCAAAGTATATAGTACATGTAATCATTAAAGCAAATATCAAAGGAATTCAGACAGAGAACTCAAGGTAAAAAAAAAGGAAAAGAAAGTGTCCAAGCCATGATTGGTTTTAGTTTTGCATCTGACTGGTTGAGAAGGTGGTGCAAGTTTTCTTGACCAATCACAGAGCAAGGTGGAGCAAACCTTATTAAATCAAATTCTGGATCATTTTCACAGATTGAAGGATCTTAACATCTAGGAGAGACTCTAACAATGTGGTACCTCCCTTCAAGACAGAAGCAAACTCCACAGTTTGGAATCAATTCTAAGGGCATATTTTTCCTCACAGAAAAAAAGAAAAAGTGTTTAGGTCCTGGATCTCTAATTTATCCTATGCTCCAGGGCTTAGATTTCTAACAACTACAACTACAGCTGAAAATTTCCCACCCACCCCCCCTCCCCCACCCTCCACTCTTTCACGCATATAAACCCACTTTACTGTGATTCAACATGGCCGTAACAATATCAATTGTTCACATAGACCTTATTACAACTCAAATTAAATAATTTGCCTGAAATTGGCTAAATTTAATACAAAACTAAAGTCACAAATAACAACAGCATTTGAATAATGATTTGTAGTAATGTAACACAAAAAAGTGGTAAAATAAAGCTTTTGATGTGCTTGGTACAGGCTTAATTAGCTAATATGCAGAATATCACAAACACAAATGAGGCGAAGATTAGATTACACATCTGATGTTCCCTCTCAATTTTTTGTCCTAATACTCAGTTTAAGCCGTTAATTCATAGGGGCTGAAAAAAGTTAATGATCACTTTTTCATTTACAGTATCCGTAGTTTGTCTGGTTTCCTAACTAGCCATTTGAACTTTTAAAACTTAAAGTATATATATTCCCTTTGGCAAACATACTCTGTTTACTAAACACTTGGATTCCAATGGTCGCTTCTGTTGATATGACAACTTTACGACTTCACTTCACTTTTCAATTCTTATGAACTTCAGTGACCACAAAATACAAACAAAGTTACCTGCACCATTGAAACTTACCTCGCTATAGTTGTATTCACGAACCACTTCTAAGGCTTCTTCAAAAGCCTTTTCCACCAAATTTTCGCCGAGCAGAAGCAAGTTTACAGAAATTCCAGAATCAATGATACCCGTTACATTCGACTGTCCTGTTCGTGATTGCCCAGTGGAGCTTTCCATATCGAACAAAAAACTCATCTAAGACAGCGGACATCTTGGTTTCAAAGCTCTGTGTACAACTAGTAGCAGAATTACCTTTTCAAATCAGTAACTATAGCACCACACAGTCACGGAACGTTGATCAAGCGACTTTTGTATCTATTTAGAAACTCTGCGGTCGCTTAGTAACCGCACTTCGCGCCAATATTAACTTATTAATTTACCTTAAATTACCATTCATAAAATTATTTATTTTTCAAAATGGACATCGCAGTCTAAAGGACAACTTACGATGAGATTTTAGTC